TAGGAGGTGTTCTCAGGTGAGGGCCGCAGCAAGTCTTCTGGTTGCAGGGGTTTCCCTTCTTGGGCTCCACTGCCTCTCACTCCCGCTTACTGCCCTGGGGGGTCACACACCCTTGCTTCAGAGACTGGCTCATGCTCCTCATGTCCTGGCTGGTTTTATCAGCCTTTTTGTGCTGTCCAGCTTTCAGTGTCTGCCGCTTCTTTGCCCGTCTTCCTCCACTCTCTTCCCATGCTCTCCTTGTAGCATTTCATTCCCTTGTGCATTTCGGTGTATAGTTTTATTTTCCTACACTATCCTGTCTTCTTTCCATCTTTTTCAATTTCTATAAGTCCAAGGGCTACTGCCAACAATAGGATACTAAAACATATCCTTCCTGTCATTTCCCAGATTTACAGTAAGGGCAAGGGACTGCATTTCCTGGAACCCTATTCTTGTTTAAACATAAGTGTAAAGGGAAGGAGTCATTAAGAGATTAATTTACCCCTTGTCATATATCGTATCAAAACTTTTGAGAGTTCCAGCCTAACTTTTGAAGACTGTCACAAATCTGGTCTGCTGTTTGAGTTAAAAGTTCATTTAATTGGCTTTAAAAACCTTGATTTTATTTTTTTCCTTTCATAGTTTATTGTCAATTTGGTTTCTATATAACACCCAGTGCTCATCCCAGCAAGTGCCCTCCTCCATGCCCATCACTCCTCTTCCCCTCTCCTTCACCCTCATCAGTCCTCAGTTTGTTCTCAGCATTCAAGAGTTTCTCATGGTTTGCCTCCCTCCCTTTCCCCAACTATTTTCCCCTTCTCCTCCTCCAAGGTCTTCTGTTAAGTTTCTCCTAATCTACCTATAAATGAAAACATATGGTATCTGTCTTTCTCTGCCTGACTTCTTTTGCTCAGCATAACACCCTCGACTTCCATCCATGTTGCTACAAATGGCCAGATTTCATTCTTTCTCATTGCCATGTAGTATTCCATTGTATAGATAAACCACATCTTCTTGATCCATTTGTCAGTTGATGGACACTTATAAAAGCCTTGATTTTAAAATGACAACCAGTGCTTTCTTGGTCTCTTGCTTTATTCCCTTCTCTAATATATTAAAAATGCTTCCATTTTGCTCCTATCAGTTCTTAAAATAATAGGTGATATTTATTGATTGTTTATTCCTATACCAAGTACAGTGTTACATGCTTTCTTGAACTATGCTTAATCTTTACTACATCCTCCCTTCCATGAGGTGTAGGTATTTTTATTATCCCCACTTTACATAAGAGGAGATCTGAGTAGGTTAAGAAGTACCTGCCCAAGGTGACATATTAATGCAGCCAGAATTCAAACCCAGGCAACTTGACTCCAAATTCCTCATCTTAAGGTCTGTGCTAAATATTCCTTTTGGTCCCTGACATCCCAGCTGATTGGTCTCATTATGTTGGCAATTTCATTATGACTGTTATAGACATTTGCCACACAGTCCTGTTAAGATAAAATAATAAGCGATAGTTCTAAAAATTCTTCATTTCTTTCCTCAGAGTTTTTCTCTTGGGGCCAAGGTTCTTATATGGAAACTAGAGTTTATTCAGATGACCAATTTAGTCAGTGCTTTTGTGTATTACTAACTTATCATCATTTCACAGTTTATTTTCATTATCTGTCAGCCCAATAGAAATTCTGTACATTTATCATTTTTGTGTAGTTACAAAAGTGTGTGATGATCTTAAAGACTGAATAATTATGCCTAAGAGTTTCTGAATTCAGCTGTTGTCTTTTTAGGGAGGACAACTTAGTTATTAAGCACTAAGAATATCTGTGTTTCTTCTAGACAGTATGTTACCCAGTTCCAGCTTATCTGGGTCTTTTGGGATCAGAAACAAATGACAGGAGTGCTGCTAATATCAGGAGTGGAAGTTTTCCTGGTATTGAGCAGGGAGATAGGCTTTGGTCATGAAAAGAATTTTAGTAATCTGATTTTCCAAAAATTCAGATTATTCTCATTCTTGACTGATTTTTATTTGACCCTAGGCAAAGTTAATAGGAAAAACACCTGATGTGTTCCAAATAGATAAGACAGGTTAGACCATTATTTCATCACATTTAATCTGGGTTTAGGAAGGAACTAATAGAAGGTGAGCAGAGCACTATATGTGACCTTATAGGAACTCATTGCTTTTGTTAGTAGTATTAAAATGTAGACTTTGTATCTGAGATTCTGTAACTGACAGAATTATTATGCCCATATTTATTCAAGCACAAAAATATTTCCCCAGAGTATCCAGATAATTAAAGGAAGAATGAAAGAGTATTAGAGAGAGTCAGAGGCAGGGAGGGACACTGATTCATAAACCTAGTTGCCTTAACACTTTTCATAAATGTTAGAAAGTCTTTATATCCTACTCTAAAGAACAAGACCTTTTTACAATGGAATGATGATCATGTATTTTCTTTTGTTTTATCTGTAAAATAAATACTAATTCAGAGAGGAAAAAAAAACATTTTAAAGTGAGGTGAAAGATTGCTAAGAGAAAGGTAAACCTTTGACTGAATAATGGTTTGATTTGAACATCAGTACTAGAGTCAGAAACTCCCAAATTAGGGCCAGACTGTTGGGCTGTGGCTTTAGGCAAACTATTTTTTTCTATTTCATTTTTCCTCTTTCTATAATTAGAAAGCCTGACATTTACCTACATTTCTTATCACGTTTAAAACTTGCATCACAGGGGCACGTGGGTGGCTCAGTCACTTGAGTGTTCACCTTTGGCTTAGGTCATGATTTCGCAGTTCATGAGGTAAAGCTCCGCATTAGGCTCTGTGCTGACAGCTTGGAGCCTTGTTCAGATTCTGTGTCTCTCCCTCTCTGTCTCTGCCCTTCCCTGTCTCATGCTCTGTCTCTCTCTCAAAAATAAATAAATGTTAAAATAAAATTTTAAGTAAATAAATAAATAAAACTTGTATCACAAATAGTGCCTTGGCTAAATAGGAACTTAACCAAATGTCACATGAATAATTGAGATGACTTTATTTTTTTTTTGGTCTTTTTTCTTCATTAAATTTCTTTCTTTCTTTCTTTCTTTCTTTCTTTCTCTCTCTCTTTCTCTCTTTTTCTCTCTCTCTCTCTCTCTCTTTCTTTCTTTCTTTCTTT